AGTGTTGCCTCAGTGAAGCCAATTTCCCCTTCCTGCCCATAGGCACTCACCTTCTGTCTAGGGCTCAGGAAGCAATGCTGTACCTTCCTCTTTGCTCAGACTCCCTCCTTCCTGCAGACAAATGCTGTCATTTTATCCCTGTGTAATGTGAGGGTCTTTTTCAGGGAGAAAAGAACAGAAACCCTTCAAACTAGCTCAACAAATCACAGGGACTGTGTTGAAAGGAAACAGGTGTATCTCAGAGTAATCAAGGAAGCAGAGAAAGTGGGGCTGAGCCCACAAGGAGATGGGGCATACCTGTGGGAGCAGAGCAAGTGGTCACACCCCTTGGGCTCCTTCTCTAAAGAGGTTCATTTTCTTTCTTCTTTTTCTTTTTTTGAGACAAGGTCTTGCTCTGTTACTCATGCTGGAGTGCAGTGGTGTGATCATGGCCCACTGTAGCCTCTACCTCCTTGGCTCAAGTGATCCTCCTGCCTCAGCTCCCGGAGTAGCTGGGACTATGGGCACACACCACAATGCCCGGGTAATTGTTTTGTTTGTTTGTAGAGATGGGGTCTCCCTATGTTGCCTAGACTGGTCTCAAACTGCTGGGCTCAAGCAATCTTCCCACTTCGGCATCCCAAAGTGCTGGGATTACAGGCATGAGCAACCGCGCCCAGCCAACAAGTGCATTTTCAACAATTTAAGGAGGTATGTTGGTAAGAAAGTTATGCCACCAGCGTTGTAAAGTCAGAGGAAGAAGTGTGATATGGGGTGGATGCGTCTAGCCATAGCTGATACACCAAAGGTCAAACCTCTGACTTATAGAGAAGGTGGTCAAACAGTGGCACATCCAATGTACATACACCCATCAACTATTAATTCGGGTCCACCCTTGACCTAGCCCAAACTCATCCTCAGACAATGAGGGTGAGGCTCACTGATTTGTGGGGGCTCCCCAGAGTTAGATCATGGCTACGCTCTTGGCTCCAGGAACCCCCAAACTGCCTGAAATCCAATCAGCTTCTCTCTTTTCTTTTCTAAGCATCTTTTCAAGTCCTGATCATTTGGGGTGGGGGCAATTTTATGTCTTCATGTGCGAGTAATCTCTGCTCTACATTGCCCCCCAAATGGAAGACCGGAAGCTTGTGTAAGATGAGAAGGAAGCTTTCCATCATTAACGCAGTGCATACCTGTGCTGTGATTATGTGTTCCTTCATGCTGGCTGGGTGACAACCCCCAAGTGTACATTTTGATCTACAGTTTTGTTTCTTCATCATTTAAAAGGAGTATTTATTTATTTTGAAAGGGGGTGTATATTTTTGCAGCACCTTCCTAAAAATATAAACCCTGGACGTTTGTGAATGGAGGAGGACAGAGCAGATCACTGCTTGTCTACTGAGGAAGGGATATGGGAATAGTCTGAGAAGAAAGGGAACAGGGTAAAGACAAGGAAGCTGGCCTGCATAGTTGGTATCATGAAGAAGAGAGAGTCTGAAGACGCATTGACATGGGAATAGAAAAGACAGAAAAATCCCATTGAAATGAACTCCCCTGGAGCTACAGGTGGTTTTTCTTGAGAGACAGTTATTAGCTACAACCACCATGTTGCTGGAGACTGCATTCCATTCATGGACAAGGGGATATTCAACCCTGGAAGGAGATGGCTCTGGAAGGACAACACTAGTGGCACTGACTTCCTGCCATGGATCAACTGACTCCAGTCTCTCCCTCTTTGTCAGGTTTTTCTTTTTTTCTTTTTTTTTTTTTTGAGACAGAGTCTGGCTCTGGGTCGCCCAGGCTGGAGTGCAGTGGCACGATCTCGGCTCACTGCAACCTCCGCCTCCCAGGTTCACACCATTCTCCTGCCTCAGCCTCTCGAGTAGCTGGGACTACAGGTGCCCGCCACCACACCCGGCTAATTTTTTGTATTTTTAGTAGAAACGGGGTTTCACCGTGTTCCGCCAGGATGGTCTCGATCTCCTTTGTCAGGTTTTTCTACAGGAGTGTTTGCCTCGACCCTGCTTAGAAACAAGGCATGGCTCCAGCTTCTGCCAGCCAATCACAGTTGCAAAAATAAGAGAAAAAGAAGAAAGGAAAACATAAAAGCAAAGGAAGGGAAAAGAGCCCGTTCTAACTTACGTTGCCGGGCACGTGTTTCCCACGGGGCACCTGAGAGCCACTTACTCCTCCCTGCCACATGAGAGTTTGTATTATTGTCCCCTTTAGACTGGAGAGGACACAGAGACTCTAGGAGTTAAATGCCCGAGGACATGTAGTTGATGAATGTCAGAGCCGGGATTAAAACCTGAGTCACTCTGACTTCAAGGCTTGTGTCACCAGGCACTGCCTCTACTCCCCAGGGATGATCTCATTTCACTTGTTTGACTGTCGAGGAGTAATTAAAGTTTAATCCCTTTCCATTACTGTCATTCACACACGTTAACACAAACCAGAGCCCTGCTGTCCCTTGGTCAGCAGCACTGTCTCCCTGCAGAAGTCTGCCCACCTACTGGCCCTTTAGTCCAACGCCCCACCCCATCCATGTGTCCTACCCATTCAGCCCATAAAGGTGGCCCAGGCTGTTCCTGTAATCCTGTTGGCTCCCACTCCTCTTACTCTGGTCCCATCTTTACTAGACTCCCATTCTTGGCTCTACAGCCTGCCCCACAGCCTCTCACCAGCAAACCCCTCCAGACTTGGTATTTTTTCTGATCTCCCTGGAGTTCAGAGTCAGTGTCTTCTCCAGACTTCAGCTTGGTCCATGCCTCTGGTCTTTGACTCTCTGCTGCCATGGAACCTGATCCTGTCATGGTTGCCCGGCCAGCTCCCTGCCCTGGGAGGAGCAACACTGCTCAGCTAGAGAATCTTGGCATCTCAAGCAAGTCCTCACTGCCCTGACACCCACTGTTCTCTCTCAGGTTCAGAGATTAATGGGTCCAAGAACAGATAGACAAGCCGTAACAAAGGCCAGGGGAGCCAGGGAGGTCCAGTGTTCCTACAGATGGCCAAAGAAGACAGCTGTAGGGACAAGAGAGCACAGTGAGCAAAGCCATCAGCCCCTCCAGAAATCCGTGGAAACTAAGGGCAACCCCAATGCAGGCTGAAGGAGAGCCCACAGCGAGGGGACGGCGAGGAAGCCACATGGTCTGCTCTCCTCCCCCTGGCAGGAGCCCCCTCCACCTGCTCTCGGTGCAGGACAGAACCACGTGTCTACACAACCTGGCACTGGGGAGGCCCTTAGAGGACACCAAGCACAACACCTACCCTGTCTATGAAATCACTTTGCCTCATCCTCTGTAAGGGGTTATCCAGCTGTGTCCATCTGATAGTTCCCGTGCCAGGGAGCTTACTACATACCTCTTTTCATTTTCAGATAGCTTTGACCATCAGAAAGTTCTTCTTTTCTTATGCAGTTCCCACTTACTTCTACTTATTTTTTAAATTATTTTTATTTTTTGAAACAGGGTCTCACTCTGTCACCAAGGCTGGAGTGCAGTGGCACAATCATGGCCCACAGCAACCTCAGCCTCTACAGGCTCAGGTGATCGCCCCACCTCAGCCTCCCTAGCAGCTGAGACTACAGGTGTATGCCACCACATTTGGCTAATTTTTGTCTTTTTTTATAAAGGCAGGATCTCCCTATGTTGCCCAGGCTGGTCTTGAACCCCTAGATTCAAATGATTCACACACCTCAAAGTCTCCCAAAGTGCTGGGATTACAGGCATGAGTCATGGCAGCCAGCTGTCTCACCTCTAGTTCTTACCGACTTACTCAGATTCCTGAAAAATGTCTGTCACTTTCCCATAGGTTTTCTCATTTTGAGGCTAAACATTCCCAGGACCTTCCATAATTCCTCACAGGGTGTTTTCGGCGCTCCAGGCCATCCTCGTGTCGGTGTCTATGATACACTCCAGTGCGTCAAAGTTCCTTTGGGACCCTTGCGGCACCCAAACCTCATGCTGTGCCCTACGTGCTGTCTGCTGTGTAAAACGCAGAGTGGAATGTTTCACCATCCAGACTCCTACTTTTAAACGATCATTAACTGCTTTCTGGCTATGGGATACTAAATCTTCCAACAATGATCTGAGGTTTAAATTTAATTTTCTGGTAGCCAGAACATACTGTTGGCTCTCACAGAGCTACTTATCAATTAAACTCCTACGTCGCTTGTCTGTGGACTACTGTTGGGCCTCATGTCTCTCTCTCTACTGAACGGTTCATGATTAAAGCCTGAATGCAAAACTTTATATATCCATGGCACTCTACCTTGCTAAAATCAGTTCAATATTCACCTTGCTGAAATCATATGATGTCCTAATTCTGACATCAAACTCACTATCATATATTTCTTAATAAATCTCTGCAGCCAAGTCATTGATATAAACATTGTACATGACCATTCAAGATTTAAAATCTACAGTATGCAACAGTATGCATCTAGAAATCGTCTTCCCATCTGTCATCCACTCATTAATCAATAATGTTTTAGGTTCTGTCTTTTAAAAGGTTACAGATTCTCCCTCGTAATTTAATCAGCATTTCTCCAACTTGTCTCCATACTATCATGAAATAGTCTAATATCTTCTTGCAATCCAGATACACTTGCTCAATGCACACTTCTGCTTCTGATCTGACCTGCAAATAGTCCTATTAAAAGAGAAATAAGCCGGGCACGGTGGCTCACGCCTATCATCCCAGCACTTTGGGATCCGCCTGAGGCGGGCGGATCACCTGAGGTCGGGAGTTCAAGACCAGCCTGACCAACATGGAGAAATCCATTCTCTACTAAAAATACAAAAGTAGCCGGGCGTGGTGGCCCATGCCTGTAATTCCAGCTACTCAGGAGGCTGAGGCGGCAGACAATCGCTTGAGCCTGGAGGCAGAGGTTGCGGTGAGCCAAGATTTTGCCATAGAACTCCTGCCTAGGCAACAGGAAAAAAAAAAGAGAGAGAGAAAAATAAAGGGCATGATTTCCAGTGAACTGTTCTTGGTTTCTGGTGAATTTCTACTCACTAGACTGAGAGTTCACAAAACTTTCATTTAACAATTAGTTGTAGAGTTTCTAGACTCCAGCTTCTTTCCTTGTTTGACAACTGGGCAGTGTTTTCCTCTCTCCAATCTTTTAGTTCTTTCCTGTTTTCCATAATTCCTCAGATGACTGACAGGCATGCCAATCTCATTTACATGCAGTTTGCTTGAACCAGGATAGGAAGCTGTTCAAAACAATTAGGTGGTGTCGCTGTTTTGCCATTCCTTTCCCCTATCTTGAGCTTCAGTTTCCTGGTCTCCATGTTTTTTTTCATTCTGCAAATAATTAAATTTGGTAGGTGAGTGAAGTTAAAAAACAGTTGTGCATTCTCTTTGTCACCATAAACATTAATTACACCACCTACCCCAAACAATAGACTTGCCCCTTTGCAATTCCTCCCGCTCTGAACCAAATAAAAACAGTTCTTACTACAGTTCTTTATTTTTATTTTTTTATTTTTTTTGAGATGGAGTTTTGCTCTTATTGCCCAGGCTGGAGTGCAATGGCATGATCTCAGCTCACCACAACCTCTGCCTCCCGGGGTTTAAGAGATTCTCCTGCCTCAGTCTCCCAGGTAGCTGGGATGACAGGCACCTGCCACCACAACTGGTTAATTTTTGTATTTTCAGTAGAGACAGGGTTTCACCATATTGGTCAGGCTGGTCTTGAACTCCTGACCTCAGGTGATCCACCTGCCTCGTCCTCCCAAAGTGCTGGGATTACAGGCATGAGCCACTGCGCCCGACTTTACTACAGTTCTTACAATTGTCTTTAAGTCTAAGTTCATCCTGGACTTCAGCCATCCTGACTCCATCTTTACCTGCTCATTCATCCCTTGGGCAAATTTTTTTTTTTTTTGGCAATGGAGTTTCACTCTTGTTGCCCAGGCTAAAGTGCAATGGCGCAATCTCGGCTCACTGCAACCTCCACTTCCCAGGTTCAAGCAGTTCTCCTGCCTCAGCCTCCCAAGTAGCTGGGATTACAGGCATATACCACCACGCCCAGCTAATTTTGTACTTTTAGTAGAGACGGGGTTTCACCATGTTGGTCAGGCTGGCCTCGAACTCCTGACCTCAGGTGATCTGTTCTCCTTGGCCTCCCAAAGCGCTGGGATTACAGGCATGAGCCACTGCCCCCAGCCTTGGGCAAACTTTTATTAGAGAATCTGTAACGACTGCACTGGAGATACAGAGCTGGATTAATTATAGCCCTATTCTCAAAGAGCAAACACCTCATGGGTAGGGAAATAGATTTTTTTTTTTTTTTTTTTTTTTGAGACGGAGTTTCACTGTTGTTGCTCAGGATGGAGTGCAATAGCGCAATCTCGGCTCACTGCAACCTCCGCCTCCCAGGTACAAGTGATTCTCCTGCCTCAGCTTCCCAAGTAGCTGGGATTACAGGCATGCTCCACCATGCCTGGCTAATTTTGTATTTTTAGTAGAGATGGGGTTTCTCCATGTTGGTCAGGCTGGTCTCGAACTTCTGACCTCGCGATTCACCCACGTCAGCCTCTCAAAGTGCTGGGATTACAGGCATGAGCCATTGTGCCTAGCCTAGGGAAATAGATACTCACATCCAACTTCCTCATAATTCAATCAGCATTTCTCCATCTTGTCCCCAATTAAGATAATGCAATTGCATCCTAGTCATGTATTCTCTTTTTGCTAAATTCTGGTATTTGTATATTTGCTTCCACACACCTTCTCAGCAAGCAGAGCATCACATGGCACTTCTTTGAATATACAGTCATGGACTGAATGACAATGTTTCAGTCAACAATGGACCGCATATGCAGCAGTGGTCTCATAAGATTGTAATATGTAATTTCACTGTACCTTTTCTATGTTTAGATATATTTAGATATATAAATACATACTATTGTGCTATAATTGCCTGCAATATTCAGTACAGTAACATGTTGTACATGTTTGTAGCCTAAAAGCAACAGGCTATACTCTACAGCCTCAGTGCGTAGTAAGTAGGCTATACCATCTAGGCCTATAAAAATATACTCTATGTGTGCATATATATAGCTCCTAGGCAATAGGCTATACTATTAATATATAGCCTAGGTGTATAATAGGCTATACTATACACCTAGACTGATGAAATCATCCAACGAAACATTTATCAGAAGCAACACATGATTTTAATTAGGAAAAAAAAAAAAAAAAAGGAAGCTCAGAAAAAAAGGAATCGTAGCTGGTAGCCCGTGTGTCAGGGCAGGAGTAAAGGTATTTACAGTGCATGCTGGAGGATAGAAAGAACAAGGAACAGAAAACCCTGGCATTATAACTGCATTCCCCTATTAGTGATAAGGCAAAGAGTTAAGGCATGCATTTAAGTGGATTTTTGGGACAAGGTGCAAGTGGCAGACAAGAGTCACCAGCTTCAAGTCATATAATTGACAAGCAAGCAGAGTATCTCTTGGCATACATCTAACCAGCAATAAAATAAATGCATATGCAAGCCTATCATTTAAATTGCAGTGGAGGCAGATTCTGAAACATTTCTAAAGGATTACACTGACTTAATACTCACAAAAAGAAAGTTTAAAAGTAAAACTAAGGGTATTTTGTAAATCTGTGACCTCAGAGTCTCCAATTCTGTGTTTCTCATAAGGCTTTAAGTTATTTAACTGCAAAATTCTCCCATCCCAGGGGTTTCAGCGTTTAAGAAGGAGTCAGTGATGCGTTAAAGTACAGGACCCATGGAGCAGGCCTGGCTGAGTGCAGAAGCTTCTGGGGCAGCAGCTTTTGAAATAGACTTTTGAGGACGAGTGGGCAATGACAGGTTAGAGGACAGGGCCATCTGGGCAAAGGGCCAGGAGCTGACCAAGGGAAGGAGCAGCAGGAGGGGAGGCCATCAGTGGTAGAGCCAGTCTCTGAAGGGCCTCATCCATTATAGCAGCGACCCTGGGGTTCTCGTGAAAGGAAAGGGGAACTACTACAGTTTGTGAGCAGGGTGGTATGTCATAAGCCAGTTTGTGATTTTAGGACAAGGCAGGAGACAGGTCACAACAAGGGCTCCCTAGAGAGCCGCTCTGGGAGCTTCCATACTCTGCTTCGGTTTTATGCGCCTCTTTTGTATATTATCCTTCAGACAAGCAGTCCATTAGCCAGGTGATAAAACAGGGAATAATTCAGTTCTTCCCCTAAGAATCTATGAAACATTTTTTCTGGTCACTATTTTTCTGTTAAATCAGGACATAATACCTCCCCGAGCTGCCTGATAGCCAAGAAGAGCTACTACTATCTTAGGACATCTTACTGTGAACCAGGCAGTGTGCACACGCAGCCTCTCATTTAATCCTCAGAATGTATTTACCCGGAATGAACTATTAATATTCTCACTATACAGATGAAAAAACAGAGGGTTAGGAAGGGAATGTGACTCTCCTTAGATCTTATAAGTGATGTAGCCAGGAGATTCCTATGCTGAATTTCCCAGTAATTCCGGAGGTAAACCATGTGAAGCTCCCGTTGAATTCTAGATATTACTGTGGTCATAGGAAGTGGTGGGAAAACCCTTTCATCCTGCTCAACTAAAGTTTCACTTTCCACACAATGTGCTTCCCTTCCCTCTCCTATCAAGCCGGCGCTGCCAACATGTGTTTAGAATATGAGGTTACTGCTTTTAATTGTAGAAACACTCAGGCCTTTTCAAAAGACAGCAGTTAGGGCTGCTCAATTCGGCTCTCAGCTTCAGCAATACCGTAACCCGACTTGCCTTCTTTTCACTTACTCATCATGCCATGATTCAGAAGCCTGTTGTTCTCAGGGTAACTCACATTCATGCTATTGCATACGGGCATGGGTCCTGACTTCCTGTTAGTGCATCACTGTTATTTTTAACTGCACTGGGATTAGACCACAGACCTAAATTAAAAGTAGAACCAGAAATTCCCAGAAACTCTGGGGCAGAATTGGTCACACGGTTTTGATTTTATGGTGTTTTCCATTGATGGAAGGTAAGGTTAACAAAAATAATATAATTAAGGTGGCTGGAGTGTGATGAAAATAATCTAAAAGCCGAAGTCAGAAGAACAATTCCCCGTTTCCTTTTTTCCGCTGAATTTAGAGTTGTTTTTGTTAATTGAGACATAATTCACATACTACAAAATTCCCCCTTCTAAAGGGTACCATTCAATGGTTTTTAGTATATTCACAAAGTTTACAACTATAACTCTAATTTCAGAATGTTTGCATCACCCCCCAAAAGGGTCACTGTCCCCTTGAGCAGTCCCTCCCATGCCCCTTTACTGTGCACCAACATCATCTAGATTGTTTGCTCCTCCTCATCCTTCTCTCTCCTCTCCCTGGAATCCTCCAGCTGTCACCAGCCTGGTCACCAGAGATGAAGTCCCTCTGGCTGAGCACAGGGTCAGGGTCATTGCCATTTCACTGACCATAAAAGGATGGCTCTGCCGCCATACACAATGTTGTCTCTGACAATGAAGGAACGCTGCTATCTTGCTATAACTGATAGAGAGAGTGAAAGGGTACATATGCAGTCAGAGAGGGAGGCAAAGCTGCCCCTTCCTCCTAGCATGGTCTCTGGGGCCCAACCATACTTGAGAAATGGGCCCTCCAGGATACACAATATCAAACTGATAGATTAGGAACACTGCAGCATGCTCTGAAATCACCCACATACTTCCTGCCTCTTGCGTCACGCCCACTGAAGGGAACACATATTCCTCACCCTACGTTTTCAGGAAGAAGAGAGACTTCATTCTCTGAACCCCAAAGGGTGAGATGTACAAGGGACACCCCTCTCTGGCCCCTCATTCCCTCCTCCCCAAGGGAGGGAGACTTAGCACTACTTAATGTAACATGTAGTTTTGTCTTAATTATTGTCTGATCCTCCACTAGAACATAGTGTCCCAGAAAGACAGACAGCTGGTTTATCCTTTCCACTGCTGTACCTCCAGTGCCTACAACTGCGCCTGACACAGAGTAGATGTTCTGGAAACATGAATGAAGGAGAGGGTCATAAAGTGCATAAGTGGCATGAAGTCAGCAGTCAAACCCGAACTTAGTCTGTCTGCCACTAGTGTGAAAAGCTCTGAATGTTGAGGCTCACATTTCTTTAAAAATTATGTTTTATCATATTTAAAAACTGTGTGCTTCACAGGCACTGAGCAAAACGGGCCCACTGGTTTGGCAAGCACAGGCCCACAGCTAGAGTTGGCTACTACAACTTCCTGGCCACTCTTCTGTTCTCAGGCCTCAACTTTCAGCCCTGCCCACCCATTCTCAGCTAGAGTCCTGGTTCTGAGGCTGAGGCATACTCAGAGCAGGCTGCTGGTTTTCCTCTCCCGGCACCACAGCCTCTCCCCTCAGCACATCCCTGAAGCCCCGCTAGAAATGCAGTGATGTGGAGAACATCCTAGTTAAGGCAACACCTCTCAGAGCTGTATGTAGTCATGTTACCACAAAGGGGTCCCGATCCACACTCCAAGAGAGGGTTCTTGGATCTCAAGCAAAAAAGAATTTGGGGCAAGTCCACAGAATAAAGTGAAAGTGAGTTTATTAGAGAAGTAAAGAAACAAAAGAATGGCTACTCCATAGGCAGAGCAGCCCTGAGGGCTACCAGTTGACTATGTTTATGGTTATTTCTTGATCATATGCCAAACAAGGGGTGGATTATTCACGAGTTTTCCAGGAAAGGGGCCGGGATTTCCCGGAACTGAGGGTTCCTCCCATTTTAGACCATATAGGAAGTTGCCATGGCATTTGCAAAATATCATGGTACAAAATGTCATGGGAGTGTCTTTTAGCATGCTAATACATTGTAATTAGCATATAACAAGCAGTGAGGACGACCAGAGGTCACCATCTTGGTTTTGGTGAGTTTTGACTGTTTATTTTCACCACGTCTCATTTTATGAGCAGGGTCTTTGTGACCTGTAGTTTGCAAAACCAATCCTGCAGATTCCTATCTCACCTATTCAAGATGGAGTCACTCTGGTTCAAACACCTGTGACAATTACAAGCTGCTTGACTTGGGGTGTAAAACGCCAAGGGATGCGTTCTGGTAACAACAAGTAATAAATACCTTGGCTGCCTTTGGAGTTTCACTTTGCTGAGTGGAGTGTACATGTTTGGATCCAGAGCTGAATTGCCCAGACCAGAGAGAGGACAGGCTCTTAGTGGTAACATGCCTGTTGCACTGCTCTTCCCCCAGGCAGGTGCTCCTCTAAATAAACGTTCTGCATTTCTTTGAAGGGGCTCTAAACTATTATCCTGCCCAGGGTACCCATGCATGTCAGCCCACACCCCTCAACCCCATGCTGTACCCCACAATTTACCATTCCTATCAATCCATTTTACCTTCCAACCTTGCTCCCACCCCATAGTGGTCTTAGCCATCACCACTGGGGACTAAGAGCTACCATTGGGTTAAAATGATAATTGTTTTAGCCAAATTTCCTCAAAATAAAAAGAGTCCAATCTATGTACAATGCTATCCAAGATCATCCCAGGCTCACTTCTAAATTTCGTTTCAATGGTTTCCTAATGGAGCTTCAAGACAATCCACACAAAGTCTTTTACCCAATGGAACCCTTGTCTCTTAGCTTCTGCAGTAACCTACCAATCCAAATTCAAAAACAGAAAGTGGGCCGGGCGCGGTGGCTCAAGCCTGTAATCCCAGCACTTTGGGAGGCCGAGACGGGCGGATCACGAGGTCAGGAGATCGAGACTATCCTGGCTAATACGGTGAAACCCCGTCTCTACTAAAAAATACAAAAAAACTAGCCGCGCGAGGTGGCGGGCGCCTGTAGTCCCAGCTACTCGGGAGGCTGAGGCAGGAGAACGGCGTAAACCCAGGAGGCGGAGCTTGCAGTGAGCTGAGATCTGGCCACTGCACTCCAGCCTGGGTGACAGAGCGAGACTCCGTCTCAAAAAAAAAAAAAAAAAAAAAACAGAAAGTGAAGGGCACGTGGAAACTGGGTCAGCATCTCTTAATGGTGTTGATTCAGCAGAGAATCTAGGCCAGTGACATTTTGTCATGACCTACATTGTGGTAGAACCTTTCATTATACATGGAACTTGAGGCAAGGTTGATTATCTTGGCCTGCGAATGAAGGCACTTCCCCCTTACTCTTGCCAAAGAGAGTGGAAAAGCAATTTTAAAAGTCAGTCTACCAACTTTAGCCTTAACATGTTGGGTGAGCTACTTGGCTCTGGGTTTCAATGACTACCAGTTCCCCAAGGGCATCTGAATGGCTGCTCTGTAGTGACTGTGGGTGTGTTTATAACCCGGGTTTTCAGGATAGAGGCTTTTTATCTTGTTCCCTAAGCAGAGAACAATAACCAGAGTGTGTTTAACCATAAAAGAATAAGGGTAAGCAAATTTGACTTTAAGGCCATGACGTCAAATGGGGTAAAGCATCAGTCTGGTTTTGCAGGTAGTTTCACGCAGGTTTGGGCCATATGAGGTCCACCCAGGGTCAGACTGTGAACTCCCTGACATCAGTCCTACAGACACACAAGGAGAGCCTGTTAGACCAGGAAGTATATTTGTCCCTCAGCCACATATACAAAATAATCTGCTCCCCAAAATGTGATTATGGTAAATATTACTTTATTCTGTTAGTCTTAGAGCAGGTAGCAACATTTTCTATGGCCTGCCATTAATAAAACCATATGGCCTACTAAGACCAATTTTTAGTGAAGTAAATTCAAATCCGTAAATATTTTCTCATTCAAAAATACAATTCCTGACTTGTCAGTAATGGTTACTAACATTTCCTAGAATCTCTTGGTTATGAGGTTAATTTTCATTAAAGTTTTCAAACTCAAGCAGCCTTCACTGCTTTTTATCGCTCTGGGTAGAATAGACCAAATTTGTTCCCATGGTCCCCTCTACATGCCTTTATTGAAGTGCACGTTGCTGATGCTTCCAGTTTTGTTCATGTCTGTCTCCTTATTGTCTCTTGATGTTACTAAGGGTTGAGGTCATATTTTGATCATCCGTACATTCCCAGCACTTAGTATAGTGCCTGGTACAAAACTGACATCAAATATATATCTGTTGAATAAGTAAATGGATGAAGTATCTTGGAATAGTGCAAAATGTGTGGTTTCTGCAGTCAACTTAATTTCTTTCATTAGCCAAATCGTGACCAATAAGCAAGATTGAAGAGTTAAAATCTGGACAAGAATAATTTCTCATGTTCCATTTTCTTTAGCCCACAAAGTTTTCTTCCAAATATCCCTTTTCTTCATAAAAAGGATATTTGTATTTTAAGGACATTTTTATTTCTTTTAAGAGTTTATATTATGTAAAGCTGTAAATTCTGCACAAAGATGAGTATAATCCTCTATGTAACAAGAGACTGGATTTTTGTCCAGGCTCCAACAATAATCAACCGTGTCACATTAGGAAAGTCACTTCCTTATCTGTTGAGAACAGCTAGAGGTGGCAGATGAGTTTCATCTCAAGGATCCACTCCAATCAGTTAGTAGTGACCAGATAAAATACTGTATTGAGGATTTTAAAATCCTTTTGACATCAGTGGGAAAGAATGCTGGGATCAGTTAGTGAGGCCTGTAATGAATAGGGTGGGAAAGAATGATGGAAAATAAGCCAGATAGTAGCCATCCTAGTATAAATGATCTCAGCTGTCCCCTTCAAGGTCTAAAATCCTGATTTGTCTTTTATTAATTCACAGATTACCCAGAATATTTTTAATGTTTATGACATACACATATATATATGGCCAGGATATATTCAGTATTTACTAAATCCTGGCACTATGCAAAGTACTTTGCATGGGTTGTTTCATTTCCTCCTCACAATACTGCTAAGAGACCCACACTATTATTATTCACATCATACAGGATGAGGAAAATGAATCCAGAGAAGTTGAATGGCTTGTCAGTTCAGACGGCTATTAATAGTGAAATCGAGACTCACATCCTGAGCACCTTTCTCCCGGAACTACGTTCTTCATCATCATGTTGGGTCAGATAGTCTACTTTGGCTTCCTTCTAAACAAAACAAAACAAAACAAAAAACCTAAGATAATGTCTGCAGTAGAAAAAAGAAGAATATTCAGGCGACAGGAAAATTGCTCGTATTTCACTCTGATAGACAATGATTTGCAACGTTAAGTAACAAAGGGCAGTACAAATATTGACTGTTCCTGAATCGCTGATACTGTAAGCAAGTTGTTTGAAATACACATGTTCTTGGGAAAATTCAGAAACGTAATCATTTTTCAGTAGTACTACAGAGTTCCTGAAGTTAAGATATTTTATGTAAAATAAAACAGGAAATTAAGATGTTGAGAACATCATTTGAGGCCTTGATGCTAACAGATATTCTTTTAGATAGTTGGTCAGCAACTTTTCCTATCATATATCATCCTCAGCCCCCCTCTCAGCTCCACAATCCCTGACTTCCCTTACACTCAGCAGATGAGCTCCTCTCTCATTTTTCCACTCAGTTCCTAGTCTTTTAAGCCAAGTAGACTCATCCAATACACCCCTGCCAGGTCATAATGGCAAGCTACCCTGCAAAAACTTTTCTAGGTTCAGATTAGAAGAGGTGCTCTCATTCACAGATTGTAGCATGATAGCTTCCTAGAAACGGCTACACACAGCCAGAAATGGCTAAACAAATTTAATTTACCAATAGGTGGAGCATGAGACCTGGCCACACTTCCTTTCACTAACACCTGAGAAGCACTTCCAACCCTCAACGGTAGACAAGGTCATTCACATGGGTGCCCAGAGAGTGGGAGAATGTGCATACTGCTTCACAGAGAAGGACGCTACACTTCGCTGCATTTTGTGCATGCATTTTCTTGTATCTTTACTCTCATTTCCCTACTCACTCCTCTCTATTCCAGACTATTCCTTATGTCATCTAGACTCTGATCTCATCATTTGTAACTTTCTTCTTTCCTATATTGGGTTTAAATTAATTTCCGGCCGGGCGCGGTGGCTCAAGCCTGTAATCCTTGCACTTTGGGAGGCCGAGACGGGCGGATCACGAGGTCAGGAGATCGAGACCATCCTGGCTAACCCGGTGAAACCCTGTCTCTACTAAAAAATACAAAAAACTAGCCGGGCGAGGTGGCGGGCACCTGTAGTCCCAGCTACTCGGGAGGCTGAGGCAGGAGAATGGCGTAAACCCAGGAGGCGGAGCTTTCAGTGAGCTGAGATCCGGCCACTGCACTCCAGCCTGGGCGACAGAGCGAGACTCCGTCTCAAAAAAAAAAAAAAAATTTCCAATGACTCATTAAATACACTAATGGATTCTCCTTTTAAGAAATTCAGACATTACAGATAAGGCTAAAGTCCCACAGATAGTTAAAAACATAGATCTTGAAGGAGAGGTCTAGGACTAGTAGCTTAAATGATAACTGAAGCTGTGGTCATCATGATGCTGTGGACAGAATTTTCTCCTCTGTATTAAACTTTTTTAAAAAAGTAGTTTCCTCCTCCTCAGCATAAGTTGCCTCAAATTACCTTTACTTTCAGAAACAAAACAAACAAAACCAAAAAACCCTCCCTCTTTCCTAAATCTTCTTCTAGCTACCATCTCTTTTCCTCCTCTCCTCCCAGTCACTTCTTTTAAGGTTTTCTCTGTATCTTTCTGTTTATGCAGTTTCACTACAACGTATCTTCTTTCTGTTTACATTCGGTTAGACCTAATGATAAAGAACATAAATTTATATCAAGATTAAAAAAAAAAAACACCCAAGTTTACTTAATTGCTGCCTTCTGCTACCCCTTGGCCCCAGAGAGCTGGGAGTAGGGATGGGGAAGCCAGAAGGCAGTGCACAATTAGACCCATCTGGTATATTCTCAGCCAGACAGACGGAGGGCCCCCTAAAGGTAAACTGCTGCTGCTTCCAGTTATAGGACAGTATTTGCATCCTGGAGTTCCCAGCACTCTGCTAAGTACTTGGCACAGCTGAAGAGCAGGTTATTGCTAAGTTAAGCACTTCCTTTCACAAGAGCTTATCTGGGTGTAACTGATGTTACCAGAAGTGCTCAGCTCACTTCTCTACTTCATCCCTGTCAATCAATCATACTTATGTGTTTACTCTCACATCATCACATACCATCATAATAAATTTGTTTATGCTTTTAAGCCTAAGATCCCTCTAATTTTTTCTGGCGACACTCCAAAAGGAGTCTCAATATATGAGGTATTAAGCTAGTAAATCCATGGATCAAAAGGGAAGGCCCAAAATTTCCTCTGACTGTAACATTCCATATGTACACAAACAAACCAGAAATAAACTCTCTTTATAAAAAGACAGCTAGTTGTCTTGATAAAATTTAGTAAGTAGTATCCATTCTCTCCCCCAAAGATTTAAAACCGCTTTTACCATATGGATTAGTTCATTTTCACGCTGCTGATAAAGACATATCCGAGACTGGGCAATTAACAAAAGAAAGGTTTATTGGACTTACAGTTCCATGTGGCTGGGGAGGCCTCACAATCATGGCAGAAGGCAAGGAGGAGCAAGTCATGTCTTATGTGGATGGCAGCAGGCAAAGAGAGAGCTTGTGCAAGGAAGCTCCCCCTTATAATACCATGAGATCTCGTGAGACTCACTCGCTATCACGAGAACAGCATGGGAGAGACCTGCCCCCATGATTCAACTACCTTTCATAGGTCCCTCCCACAACACATGAGAATTCAAGATGAGATTTAAGTGGGGACACAGCCAAACCATATCGCCATAAACTTCATTTTTAACTACACAGGGTTCTGTTTTCTTTCTTTTTTTTTTTTTTTAATGGTTCTTTGATCTTTAATTCTGGTCCAATGTCAGTATCATGCTGTTCTAATTGCTGCAGTTTTTCATTATATTTTGATATTTGGTAGGGTAAGTGACCTTTTATTGTTATTTGTGGCAAAAATATTTTGGAGGGGGATCTAGCCTACACACTTGGTCTTCCATGTGAACTTTAGAATCAGCTTATTATTTTCTATTAAATATTATTTTTGAATTGGTATAGGGGCATATCAAATCAGTGAGAAAGAGTTGGACTTTATAATATTCCAGTATTGGAGATAACCAGATAACTACATGGAAAAAAGATAAAATCCTATTTATTACTGTCACAATTTATCAAGATACTTTCAACATGGACAAGATATTAATGCAAAAATAAATAAAACGACACAAATACTTAAAGAAAATATGAGTGAATTCCTCTGTAAGCTGTGAATGCAGAAAATCTTTCTATGACTCAACACCCAGACAAGGTAAGGAAGATTGATAAAGCTGACCACATTAAAAAAAATTAATGGTAAAAAACTCCAACAAACGACAAGGTAGATATATGACAACTGGAAAAAATATTAGTAACTTTTATCATAGCTAAAGAGTTGATACCCTTAATACACAAAGAGTTTCTAAAAATGATCAATAACCCTACAGAAAAATAGGCAAGAGATAAAAGCAAAATGATAAGAGAAATGCAACTTAAAGTTTTTTCAAATATGCTCCTCAAATATCATCAACTGATAATACAAAGCCAAGTTTTTTGCTTTCATATGTAAGGGAGAATATCACTTCAACAGAACTTTCATAGCATCTTGGAGGGAAAAGTAATGTAGGATTTTATTAAGAATAGGAAGGTTGGATTCCAGTAGGTCTTTCAAAGTAGGGTTGGGGAAAGACTTGATTAAAATTGGGGAAGGATCCTGATATACACTTTAGGATCATGACATACTAGTGGAAACCACAAGGTGAGGATTTTGAGGTGAGGGATTCAGAATCTTAGGGCATCAACTGTCTTTTGATGCTTTCTATTGGAGTTGATGGAACTTTCAGGAAGTTACCGTAATTAAAAATCAAGTTATTTGTCTGGGCAAGAGTATTTTGGAATAATAAAGTTATGCTAATAAAGACAATAAAATATAAAGCCATGTTCATGCAGACAATAGGTTGTGTGGAGGATAAGTAGTTTCAGTCGTCAGAGTCCACACTATGTAGCGGGGCGGGGAATAGATGGTTTCAATTCTTATAACACTGAGATCTTCAGTTTCACCTTAGAGATACAGAGAGCTAAAAAAAATAAATAAATAAAAGGGTGTTCTCCCTTTTACTAACTAGGAAAAAGATGGACACGCTGCAAACTAATGACTTTTCTTGACCCAGCAGAGAATTAAAATTGCAAGGCAAATAATTAACCTAAAAACTAGAGAGACAATTACCTGTAGGGAGAAACAAGACCTAAACATTTGTTACCTGGAATATATGATGTCAAATGTTGTACAAAACAGAGAATATTTAACTAGAAATTTTTAACAAATTGTGGGCCAGTGTGAGTGTGAAGCCCTTCGGGACAAAGATGGGAGGTGGCATTCCAACTTTTTGTAGGTCTCTCTTCCAGGAACTCCTCTAGGCTCTCGCAGAGGAGACAGGGAGAAGCCTGAGAAAGTCCATCTCTTAGGGTTGGAGGGCAACAGCAGGCACTGTAGAAGCTCCACCTGGACTGTCTTCCCTACTTTTGCAAAAGAAGAAAAGTCTCAGTCTATATGGGGAAGGTCATCAAAATGGGTATCTGAGGGCACTGGTGGAAACCAACCTCAGCTGGGGGAGGCAAGCATGAGAGTAAAGATAAAACAGGAATATCAGACAGGCCCAGCTTGATGTCTGGAGGAGAGGCAGGAACACCTGTGAAAGTCACAGTTTGGAAACCCACAGGTTTCCTATTCACAGTACCTGCGGTTCACAGATTTAGTCTCAGCTTCATAGACTAGGCTTAATCAGATCATCGGAGAATACCTTCTTCCCTGGCCCCTTACCACCATACCAACAAGCATCAAGTAAAAATAACAGAAGAATACAGCTGGGAGAGCTGCAGCAGCACACACTTAACTAGGGAATGGTGTAGAAGAAAGACTCAAAGACAAGCAAAGAGACTAAAATAAGGTATCACTAGAGGAATTTGAAGCTGCTGATGCACAGAGGTAACTGAGGCAACAACAGTTTTTAAATCCAACCCAATTCCTTACT